AACCAGAACTGGAATGCGTCAACAGATTCTATTAAAGCTCATCAATATTAAATCTAATGAACATCCGTTTAGACGTTCTTGAGCTTGATCTGCGGACAGACGGACGGCCTTACACGTGACGAAGTGAAAGGCTCTCGATTTGCATTAATTAGTTACGAATTGCGTGTGAAAACGGAATTAGAAATGCGGGCTTCAGTTCCCATAAAAATCCACGATTTCAGGGGCATACTGACCGTCTCCAGGAAAAACTGTTCGTCAAGTAGTCCCAGTCTGATGCCATCCAAGAGGTCCGCGATGTGGCCTTTCCTGTTGTCCGGGTCGTGGTTGATCCACCGGAGAACGCACTCCCACACATCTTTCTCGTACTTAACGTTCAGTTCATCAGACTCGATTATCGCTTGCAGCTCCTGTGCAGCCACTTCCAGCAGTTCTTCGCTCTGCTGAGACACTACCACGAAGTGGCGCAGAACGAAGCGACGAGCTTCGGTCTCAAGGTCGGCGCAGAAGTAAAACCTGCGACAGCGAAGGTAAGAGCCGACTCAGAATCGATCTCCTTCGAACTCTGACACATTGAAACGTTGCAGCAAGAACTGGATTCTCAAGCATTTGCACACCACAGTATTTCGCCTGCAGTTTTTACCTTAGCCCTTTGAAGCCCGAATGAGTGTTACTGAGAAGAGAAAGTGGGAAGGCAAAACCGAGAGATGGTACGTTTACTTATCTGGGGGCGAAATAGTCAGTTTTAAGCTATGAAGGTTCCCAGGCATTGCCCGCTCGTCCCTGTGATAAAGTTATAGGTTGAAAATAACGCACGGTGTACGAAAGTGAAGAAGGTAGTGAGATGAGAAGTGGCGAATTTTAAATTCTGACATCAGCCTTAGCGAAGCGACATTTGATTAACTACCTCCCACATGGGAGGAGGCCAAGGCTCGGCTTCGGGCTGTTGCGCCGTAGTCAGAGTCAGTCAGTCACGTGTAAGAATGCTACAGGGGAGAAAGAAATGCGAGAAGAAGATAGAGATAACTATAACCCTGTAATAGGTCATCATATACGTTCCACGCGATGAAATCAGTCACCTGCTGGTCGTAAAGATGATCAGAATATTTAAATTACAAGCACATTAATAATAACCTGCTAATAGCCCTGACCAACAACACATTATAATTTGCCCAGTCCTTAGAGACCGCACCTCCGACCCGGCACTCGGCTGCTCTCTGAGTAGAGGTGATTCGCTCCAACACCGAAGGCTAGCGTCACAGCAAATGACATATGAGCATCAATTACCTAGCGAAATGCATGATGTCGATACAGTTATCGAGGTCCATCATGTCCATGAGGAAGTTGCAGCAGAGTTTAATAACGCTTGGTATACACAAATAGTCAGCCGCCACGAGCAGCTGACACGCGTTGTCGCAGTGGATGTTCACCTCCCGCAAATAAACATAATCCAGTATTTGCGTCATCATATCCGAGCTGACTCCGTGGAGGAGAATATCAGTCTGCTCATGGGCGTGCAGTGTAGTGGTGAAGAGGTTCCTGAAAAGTCACGAAGCAGTCGTTAATTTACACTGATTTCGAGAAATGGGAAAACATAAATTTACAGTAGTTATTCGCATGAAGTTCCAGTTTTTATAACTCACGTAAAAAATTGTCAACGTGGTGGATGAATTTTTAAGTTATCTGAATACTTCAAAAAGTCACCTAAAGCCATGTGTGAGTGTGCGAAGGCTGTGCACATATATAGAACAGTGTGTCGAAGATTTGCTAGCATGACGTCAGATCAGACGACAGTGGGAATTCAGGGTGTTGTCGATAAGCTAAAGTCAGTCTCGCATTCATCTCACCGTGTCAGAATGTGTTCTACTGTGGACAGATTTACTGCGAAGAGGCGAAGAGCTTGTACGAGTATGTATCAGAAAGTAACCTGTCAAGAATGACGGGTAAAGTAGCAAGCAGGGAACATTTGTATTATAGAATGGTTACCTCGTTTATTACATATTTTTCATTCCTTAAAGAGATATCTGTGGTCATAACAACTACTACAGAAATTTTAAAGCCAACCAGCAAATTAATACAAATATTTCAACATACATCGCGGGCTGTAGAGGAGACCAGCCTATAATGACATACCATTTTGAAATTGCACTTGTTGATCAGTTCGTAATATGAAATCAGAGATTCCAACGTCTATGTGTTTTGTGAACAATCAGTACCGGTTAAACAACTTAAAAGATAACTCGAAGTTTCTACATCTTGTCGAAATAATGGAAGAGGGGCACAGCTTGTAACAAGACTTGAGAAACGTCTGTTGGAAAACAGAAACATCTTTACTTAAAACACAGGCAAAATAACGTATGCGCAAATTCGTCGTGGGAGTTACGTGACACAACTTAAAATTTTAGCCTGCTGTCCTTTAACCACGAAGAAAGTGTGTCATTATATTACCATGCTGTGCACCTCCCAGTTCAAAATCTGAATCTGTAGAATGTAAATTAATTCCAATCTTAGAGCCACTTGATAAGAAAAAACAAGAAATTCCTTCAAAAAACTGAGTAAAATACCGGCGTTACGGTCACCAAATATTTGTAACGAGCTTACGAACAATTCTCTCCAAACAATGAAACATTTCTCACGAAGTTTCTTGTCAGAACAATACAGAACAGCTTTCAATGTTTTGGACAATGGCGTGACAAATGTGCATTACCAACTTGCTTTGATCGTCGTCTTTATATGTTAAAACTAAGATGTTTTGGAAATGGATTCTATTTCTCTCTCCAGATCGTTTGACTCTCTCCTTGGTACAACTACACTTAAAAAATTAGTGCAAAAAACCATGGATATATATATGTCTGTCTTCTTGCATATTGCGTCGTGTCGTCTCGTAGAAATTAACAGACGTTTCAGAGGTGCTTACTGCCTCTGTTATCAAAGAAAGAAGGCAGTATGCCTGAAATACCACCCAGTTTCTACGGCTCAACGTCCAGAAGACAGTCATCTTCTTCCTCACTGCCGTGAGATTTCATGACAACGAACAAATAACAAAAGACAAATAGCCATATAAAAATACATTTTTCTGCAACAAAGAGGATATAACATTTCACATACTAATTGACGTCTATTATGAGCCGCATGCTGACCACTCACCCCCATCTAGTGCCGAGGTCAAGGAAGAGAGGAGCTATACCTCCACTCACCCCAAACGCCTACATGGCGTATAGTGGGACAAACTTTACTTTACTTTACTTTAATTGACGTCTATTATGTCCTAAAGTACTGTAATGTCCTTATTTAACATGTTAATCAACCACATCAGTAAATAAGTATACCTGAAATACTCGCTATACATCGAGAGAATCACTCTGTGGACAGGAAAAACGCCGCCATCTTTCAACCTCAACACCGCGTCAAATAGTTGGTTATTCCCTCTCATTTCCCTCAGAGAGAGCAATCGTTCGGTGCACATGCATCTGCCGCCAGGCTGAGGACACCTGCGATGTTGGTTTAACACCATCTCCTGAAAAACAGTCCAATTCATTTGCAGGTTTTTCTTCATACTGACACGTGTGCACATCAACTGAGAGTGACTGAGAGGGAACACGGTACTGAGAAGAATATTTGGTCCTGCGAGAGCGTAACTGACAGTAGAATGGTGAAAACTACGTAGTATGGAGCTTTGTAGGTCTCTTCACTAAGTAACAAATTGTAGGCTGTTCACATCAAGGATGGTGAGATGGGCGGGGCATGTAGTACACATAGCAGAGACAAGAAATACATTTTAATCGGAAAACCTGAAAGGGAAAGGCCACTTGAGAGCCCTATGTATTGGTAGGATAATATTAAAATGGATCTTAGAGAAGTGGGGAATGAAGTTGTGGCCTGACTTTACATGCTTGTGAATTTGGTTTAAAGACGGGGTCTTTTAAACACGGAAATGAAACTTCATGTTTCATAAAAGGCGAGACATTTGATTGCCTAGGCTACTGTTAGATTCTCAAGCAGGATTTTGGCTCCATGGAGTCAGTTTGTTTCTTAGTTACAGAAACGCCCGTTGAGATTCAATATAAAACAACAAAGCTCTAAATGTGATATTAAGTCATACCGCTTGTTTGTTATTACTCACATAAGGTTATATATTTTTATATATAAATTACGTAGACATTAAGTATAAAATAGCAATGTAATCTAAAAGTCTTAGCTGCTACTACGGTGCACTGATTTTAGAAAATTACACAAAAATCCATAGAATTTATGTGACCTTTGATGCAAAACCAGACAGTTAACAAATATATTTTGAAAAAAAGAAGGCTATACCTTTTCATAACCATAACAATTTTGAGTTCTTGTCTCTCTGTAGAATTAAAAGTGCTTAAGATGGTTAATGACTTTCTTGCCTAAGTTATAAATTTATATGCACTGCAAACCCAATGTTTAGTTAAATTTATCAAATGAACGTGACAATTACAGTTGGGAACAGTCAAAAAAGCTGTACGTTAAACTAGTGCACGCGTACATTAGGCCTACATCACTCTACTCACACACTGGAAAGTGCAGGATATTTGAAAAATCGATTGCATACTAGGCTTGTTAAAGAATAGCGCACTTTCTTTACAGAACTAGAAGGTTCATCACCGTGTTCATAAGATCCCGCCACCGGACTCTATCCTGAGGCAGTTGCATCCAGTTCGCTCCAATTTTCTCCATGATCCGTCTACCTCATTCTTTGGTCCGAATATCTTCAACACTTTTTTCTCAAAAACCCTCAATCTATGTTCCTCCCTCAAAGTGAGAGACCAAGTTTTGCACCCATACAGCACAACCGGCAAAATTAAGCTTTGGTTCATTTTAATCTTTCGTTTTCTTTTGATATGAGACAGGAGGACATAAGATTTTGGACTGAATAATAGCATGCATTCCCTGGATTTAATCTGCTCTCGATTTCGTCATAAATGTCATTTTGACTTGTTAGTGTCTTCCCAAAATATTTTAATTTTGTCACATTTTCGAAAGACTGATTACCTATCCTTAAATTCTGGTTCTATCCTGAATTCTGAATTTTCATATATATATAATCTTTTCTGCATTTATTTCTAGACTAACATCCTTAATATCATCATAATAGACCAAAATCTGATGAGTCCCTTTCAGTTTGAAACCGCCGTGATTTTCATGGACTTTCCTGGTAGCTTATTATAAGATTCCTCGATAATTAGGCTTATAAAACCGAAATAAGAATTCTTCACAACTCAGTAAAACGCTTTAACAATTTTAATGTATGAAGAAATGTAGTGTTAGATTATTATTCAGAATACATAACCCACTTCTTAATATCCATATATTTTTATTAAGATTCTGGGCTACTAAGCACCTTTAAATTTTTAAATGTAAATTGCTTACTGGAATATTATTTTACTATAAATGATGCCGTGAACACCAGAAGTCAATCTATTACTAATTGAAATTGTGTTAGAAAGAAAACAAGCCAAGTTTTCTTACAAGAACTCATAAATGTAAAGGAAACACTTACCTAATATATATATCCACCGGCAAAAAAACAATTGAATCACAAATAAAATGGATAGAGCGGAGGAGAGTATCACAAATTTCTTAATAATTCGCATAAGAAATGCACTTGGGTTTCTCTGAAAGGTTTTTAATAGCACAAAATATCTCGTCTACTACGCACTTGTACAAACGATTCACAGCTCAGTTCTTTCCACACTAACGAAAGTCGATTGTTCACGCCAATATATACTAATGCGACAATGCCGTTGGAAACTATGACGTAACAATCAGCAAAGGAATGGAGTGCAATACGGTTTATTCACTCTATTATACTGCATGCATAAGAAATGAGAAATGACCCTTACGGCATGATCAGTCAGTATTGTTGCAGGTGTGGTTTAGAAATTCCAATACTTCTTATTACATTGTTGTACACGCAGGTGTTGATATAAAGGCTGACAGGTAGTTGAAAAAAATACAAGGTGAATTACTCTAATTTCGTCACATTCCATCCTAAATGTAAGAAATAAATACTGAATATTAAACGTTTTCTCTATGAGAAATTCGACAACTTGTCACATTATGAATTGTTGGAGTTGCCCGGCTCGGTTGCAGTCATATATGATGTTATTCGGAATTTCTGCTCATGTAGGCATGGAACTTTTTTCAGGGAATATTACATGGAGGAGTATAAGCTGAACACCAGCGAGGAAGGTTTCGGTGATGGTTTCGAGAATGAAGTTCGTAGTTTTGCAATTTATTTCTTTTGCGATTAACAGTCACTTTACCGAATCGAACTACAAAACAATTCAGGATGTTTCTTCGTCTGAATTCCAGAAGAGAGTGTGTCCCCTCTGTATCCGCGTCGCCAGGCTTCCCTCTTGTTTTTTTTAACAAAAACAAATGATCTATTTGGCCAGCAATGATGCGATGTTCTCATTGGTCAGCTCAGCCCTACCTCACCGTAGTTTCGGAGTTAACGGAACCACCCTTGCCGGAAATCGAATTCAGGACGCTTTTCCCCGAGTTCTGACCTTCCTGTGTTCTCTCATTTGTCTTAAGGAATAATTACGCCATGTTTTATTTTCACGAGCCACAAGTTAACGAGTAAAAAATGTCAGCCTTCAATTTCGAGTTTACACGTGACCAGTAGACTCTGTGGTATTTATACTAAGGGGAAAAACGACAGTTTCTTACAAATTTATCTTCTGGGTCTCAGACAATATTCGGGTTTGTGACCTTAGTCAGTCAAATCATTTCCCAGGAAAAAACAGAATTTGCCTTAGCG